AATAAATTTTATAATAAACGAAGTCTTATATGTTCTCACTTATGTTTATTTCTAGAGTCCTTAGAATATTTGTTGATATTCTTTTTGAAATTATATTGTTTAGTCAGTTATTACTAGGATAGAGAAATACTATTTTTGAAGTTGAACTTGTATTTGGTACACTTGTTCCAATAATTTTACCATTAATACCATTGGGTTTGGGTTTTCAAGGCAGATGATTATTTTATCTTCAAATAAGGTCATGTTAATCTCCTTTTTAATTCTTATATATCTTCTCCCTTCCTTCCTTCCTTCCTTCCTTCCTTCCTTCCTTCCTTCCTTCCTCCCTCCCTCCCTCCCTCTCTCTCTCTCTTTCTTTCTTTCACTAATTTTGGTCAGAACCTCCAGTACTATCTTTAAAGGTAGAAATGAAAGTTAAATATTCTCAAATTGTTCTTCATCTTAAAAGGAATGCAACTCAAATTTCTCTATTAAGTAAAATACTTGCTGTGGGTTTTTGGTTTTTAATCTTTACAATTCCTGCCAAAGTAGTGAGAATAATGACTAGCCACATTGTATCCATCATCGTGTTACAACTATTGCAATATATGGGTAATTTTGTTTCCTCTGTACCCTCTCCACTCCCCTTCCCAGACAATAGTTTATTTTGAAACAAATCCCAGACGTCATATGATTTCATTTGTAAACCTTTTAGAGTGTAACTCTGAGAGAGATGGATTTATAAACTTTACTAAGTTAAGTAAGTTCCCTTTTATCTTTAGTTAGCTAGAAGTCTTTGCCATAAAAAGATTTTGAACTTTACAAATGCTTTTTTCTGCATTAATAAAATTATATGATTTTTTTTCCTCCTCAAGTTTATTTTTGTGGTATATGACATTGCTAGATTTTCTTTTCATAGAACTTCCTTGCATCACTGAGATAAAAACTATGTGATTATTTCAGGATATTTTTCAATACTCTGTTGGATTTGTTTAGTTATGATTTTTAGGTCTATGTTCATAAATGATATGGACCTATAATTGTAATTTCTTGTACTTATCTGGTTTTTAGAGTTGAGATTACTGGATAAAATAGAACTGGATAACTTTCACTTGTTTTCAGTTTTCTGGAACAACTTGTGTAAGCTAGGAATTACTTCTCCTAGCTGTTTACAACATCCTCCTGGACTCGTTTCTCTTCTTATTGAGTATTTCCAATTTTGGCCTGAAGTCTTTTACCTTTTAATTCTGGGACATCTGTTTTCATTACTTTTGAGACATTTTTGCTAACTGTTTTTTTCTTTCTTTATTCTGTTGTCCAGATTTTGACCCCTTCATTTCATGTGCTGATACCCCTTAGGAAGTATGCACATTTTTACTTACATTTATTAAATTCTTATTTTATTTCCTCTTGGT